GGGGGTGAAACAGTTATACACGGGGAAATGGAAGATAACTGAGGTCAACTTGTGACCTCAGCTATATCATTCTTCAATGAGTAGTAGATGGTTCGCTGCCATTTAGCTTAATATTATACTGATATTATAAGAGACCAATGCAGCTTACAACTTCGAGCACCATGGCTTTGGTTGCAGACTACCATAGTTGAGCAGCGGGTCGTTCTGACTGTGGAGTTTACCCCCATGAGTACCTATCACTTGATATTGCGAGAATAAAGGGGAGGGGTCACAAGAGTAGGTCCGAAACAATGTGACTGTCAGACAGAATCGGGACCCGGTTATAAAGTCATTTAATTGGGTGGGTCTTTTTTGCATCCTCGATGTAAGCGGAAACTAATTTTAGTGATGGCAAACAGTTGAAGACTTAAAAGTATACCGAGCTGATCTTGAAGCTTGACAACCAAAGTGATAGACTTTCATATGAGTGTTTCGTCGATTACCGATTTTCATATTTTCGTAACACCTGGATACCCTTGGGTTAAGCAGAATTGAATGCTACCAGGCCCGTCCCCAGGTTGTGAATAGGGAGCGACCTCCACGGAAGGTTAGCTGTGAATAGGTTGTGGCATACCACAACAAATAGGCAGTCGCGAACAAACAGCGGCGGCACTACCAGGGTGCCTTATCCACGATTTAACCATGTATGGCACGCTACTTTTGGATGAGATACATGGAAACCAAATAATCTGAGTTCAGACAAACTGGGTGATTTGATCGGTGTCATGCTTCTCTTATGCACGCAAGTGCGATTTTAGATCCTCGGGAGTAATGTGAAAACCCAGATATTGACAGATTAAAAACCGACAACCGAATTCGCCTAATGGGCGACAGGAGCAGTAAGGTAACTCACATCCCGGCACGGTTGTAGTCGATCGTTTCCGTTCGGCATCGCCCGGCACGGCACGCGAGTGACGCAGGTAGATGTTTGAGGCGACGACAGCTTCCAGACTGACTAGCACGCGCGCCTGATGCGCATTGGGTGCGACAAACAGAATGCGTAGAATCGCGTCCGTATCTTTCGATGGTTTCCAAACAACAAGAACGGACACACTTGTATGCGAGAGCTGATTTATCAAGAGTAATAGTAGAAACAGCAGATAAAAATGATATAAAGTGAAGCAAATGAAAAATTGACTCAAAGTAACTGCTTTCTAGGATAAAATAAAGTCAGAGTTGATAAAGCCAAAGTTGATCATAGACGATGACTGATCGAGCGAAGTTATTTAAGAGCGTCAAGGTTGTATATTTTTCTGATATAGGTGAGCAGAGAAAAAAGATAAATTAGACAATTATCAAAATACGCGTGCGCCAGAAAGTGGTTTCGTTCTTTAGGGACGGAGGTGAATGAGTGGATAATATGTAAAACCACAGTAACAGGCATCACTTACCAGAGGCACAGTGAATTTATTTGCCGGCGGCGATCGACCCAAGGGGACCGTTGCACCAATTAGACTCGGGGACGCCTTAGCCCAGTCATCGGTCACTTTGCGGAGTTCTGCTGAGTCCTCGTCCGTCGGAGTGAGTGGGAAAAGCTCCAGAGAGCCCTGACCAACCTGTGGTGGAAGTAAACCGGAGGGACCAATCGGAAGTAATGAGACTGCTCGCAACTGCATAAGCTACTAACCCGACATGATAGTGCGAACTATATTGGCTTGTTACTATTAAACCGAATACTGAAGCTCTTCCAGCTTATAGCGATTAGCATCCAAGTGACCAATCGAATTTCACAAAGACTACAGTCCATGAATAAATGCAGCCATCTGGTGAAAGGCAAATGCTAAATTGAGATTGACCGGCAGGAATCGAACTTGAGAAGTAGGCGACAGTGCTTTGCTATATGAGGGTGATAATGATCAAGGCTTTATCGAACTATACCGATGGACAAAACCATAAAATCGTTCTTGTCGGTGACCGCTAAGTAAAAGATGCCAATAAGAATCGAGTCAACCAGGCTTGAATAATGTTTCCTGTGCTCAAGTCACAACCCTTTACTTCAACGGACAGAGCATCCTCTGAGTGTGTGCAATAAGAGGGAATTTTGCGCTTACAGCATCAACATGTACTATTAACTATTAATAAGAATTAATGAAAGAGTTTGACGTTCTAGAATACAAATCTACAGATACATTGTGCAACGAAGTCTTTACTTTTCAAAGCGCAGACGGAGTGTTGAATCCTAAACCAAATAACAGCGGTGGTGGGTCGACACGTCACTGACCTACATTAGAATACAATCGAGTGGAATGCCTAACCTAATATTGAAAATTCCCAACACAATGTGGAATTCGGATCAAATTCTGTTCACGAGGAAAAGATTAAAGAATGCAGTATGATGAAAATGCAGCCTTTTGCGCATAAAACAGACACAACGCAATCGCCCGGAGCACTAACCTTCTGATACAGTTGAACCGGTTGCGATGGATTCACCATTTTTGCACCTCGGGTTAGGGTTTGGGCAAACACGTTGGTACCTTGTTGTTTCAATCCGCTCATAACCTTGGACATTTCCCGTGGGATACTCAAAGCCAATGGTGACTGAGCGGGATTAGGATCCGGTAGTTTATACGAACCGCTGATATTTGGTGGTGGCGTGAGGAGACAAAGTATGGAGTCTGGAACAGCATCAGGAGGGCGGGCAAACGCAACGGGGAGAACTGAGCTCAAACCGAGCAGATTGTCCACACCCCAGTGTGTCAGCAAAACGGCATCCAAGCTGAGAAAAAAAGAGGATTGACATGACGAAAAGACAATAATGCACATCTGAACACATTCGATTTACAAGATTAGTAAGTTCCGTACTATTCGTCCGGTATAGTTGTGATGTAACTGAGATGATCAACTTCATTTTAGAGCGGACGGCGGGGGGTGAATGTGGGTCAAAAGTGATGAACACTAGAACATTAGGATCTATCTGCTCCAGAGATCTCAATCGCCATGCTAACGAAAAAACCCACAAGACATTCATTGCCTCAGTCACGTAATTTCAACACCTGAGAGGACTGATGAGCGATAAGTTACGGCTCAATGCGACTCAGATGGACAACTGCGATCAGGTGATTGCCATATTGTCATATTCGAAATGGATTAAGTAGCACTAATCAAATCATCCTAACAAGATTGATTTCTTCATGTGAAAATGTGGACCAGTAAGATAGAGAAAAAATGTTGCGCTTTAATAAGTCCAGGAAACTAGCATTTTGATGAACATTGCGTGGTTTATTGATGTGAATACGGCATTATTCGATATGACTTCCGGCAAAATACAGCGCGAAAGTGAAACAGTAAATTGCTTCGGTTTTTCTAATTTCGGTAGTCGGATTTCGCTCTGCACAAAAGTCCACAATAGTATACGGTCCGGAAGAAGAATTGTGTGAGATCAGTCAATCAAGCACACGCATAGTGCACGTATACCGTAGCGATATTCGGTCAACAAATGACAGTCAAATGAGGAATGGTGGACGCCATATCACGTGAGATATCCAAAGGAACGAGCACAAATGGGACTGTGGGCAAGTCACACATGAATGTACTCGCGCCCGTAGCGCGTGAAAACACGTCAGTGTGAACAGTCTGGACTGCGCTGTGGGAAATCATAGAACGACAAACTGCACCCACGCAGCTCACAACACGCAGCGCATCGCATGATCCACCACGTATTTGTATGTCGGAACGCAGTTTTTTTACTCCTCTCCACCACCCATTGACTCCATGCCATTCGTCGAAAATGGAGAACGAAAATTGTAAAATCGATGCACGAGTGCATTGTGGACAAAATGCACAGTCGAAAATATGTGAACGACGAGATATGAAGGAACACGGATGACGCGGTAAGCGTACGAAGTAAGCGACGGCAATCGGAAACCAATGGAATATTGTCGACCGCGAAGCATACAACCACACACGAAGAAAGAACTTAGAGAACGTAGGAATTTGTTGCATCTGCTTTCGGAAGTCGAGAAAGATTAATACGAAATGTCAGCCAAGCACACTGAGGACCTACTGCTTGACTTTCTACGCAATTGGTGGGGAAATTTCGTCCCGGGAAATTAAACCATCGCTTCCTAATAACCAATACCATTTTTATGTATGGAAGGATTTGTCGCATAGACGAAAAAGCGCACTGAACATCTGTTTCATCCCTATTCAGACTTGTGTACCTACCAGAATCCTAACACCCTTTCTATGGTTTATGATCAGAGCTAGGTACCAGTCATCGTCGCAAAAATCTATGAATAAGCAGGGAATCTGCTGAATTATATGCAAAAAAATCGTTTCACTAGTGAGGTACACAGAGCTTCAGTTAGGGAGCATTAGTGTGCTTGGGTTTGGGCAACTGTGTGCGATAGTCTAATGAAAAACGAAATTTTAGTGGTAGAATTTAAGCAAGTAAATTAAGCGAGTAACATCAGATCAGACAATGACAATCAGATTTTCTAGAAGAGGCAGATCATTGGACAACTTATAAGGGAAAGCAAGGAAGTTCACCAGCGCGAGAAGCATCAATATAATCTCTCTGTAGATTATGAACCATGGAAACGTAGCATATTTGGGAAACCTGGTTTTAAAACTTCCATGAAGTGCAGTACAGGCAAGCTCTGAGACACCCTAGTCGTAATGGTCACTAGTTCGACTAAGCGGTGGGATATTTTGGATTCCCTGGACGTGTGAACCACGTCTCGAGGACTGACGGACACAGGGTCATAATTGATTATTCATGATGACCGACAAAGAGCACTGTACGGCTGTTTCGTCCCGTTTTGGACTCGTCAGCATGCATACTTTGTGTCCTTGTTAGGATTTGAACCTCACACATTCGGGTCGCGACTTCAAATCCTGAGCTACATAGTCGATGGACATCAATTTGTGCGAATAGTTTGAGCATTTAGGAGTAGTAAATTTAGAATAATCCATTCGATCGTTAATAGGCACTGTTGGTGGTCTTGGGTGTGGGTTTCACCCATCGGGAAATAGTTGAATGAGTTTATGTCCCAAGGAGTGGAACCCACACCCAAGCTTATCAACAGCCCCTGGTGATTGTGAACAACAGAATGAATTATTCCAAATTCACTACTCTTAGTCGTCATTAATCGTTATCGTAAACATTACCCGGCTACCTTGTGTCAGGGTTAGGTTAGTCGAAGGTTTCGGTTCTGAATCCTGGCATGCGAAACTTCGACTTGGGTAACCTGAAAGTAGTGAGCCTAAAAACAATGGATTGGCTGCTTGTTTAATTACGAAAAGGATTGAAGAAAAGAGAAATACGACAAAAGTAAATGTCCTCCCAGAACTTCCTGTCAGTTCAAAACAGTACACCCGAGGTTCACCATTTGTTGAGACGGACAGAATCGGTGAAATCATTGAGGGAGTCATTCGCAGGAACCCATCCTCATAAAACTGACAGATATTGTTAACTACTGTAAACAACGTACTTTTTTCATTTTCACATCCTTTTCATTAAACACGTAAGAATACAATTTTCAGGAAAGAGGAAGCGGCTAATCAGGTGGCTGCATACAACAAGCAACGGGGGTAAAGTCAGGCGGTGGTGGTGAGATCTGAACACGCCCTCTGGGGTGACATTACCATCGGACCACCACCATCCCCAACGTGAACAATTTAGCGAATTCTCATTCGCGTAATTTCATTGGTCTCGTGTAAATAAAAGACATGGCAGATGTGTCGTGCAATTCACCTTTCGAAAAATCTTGTCTTGGGATTTTTCTTCAATTTGAAAGATACGTCCAGGTTGAATTGCATGACAGTTTGAACCCAGACAAATGCGAAATACAAAGCCACTAGACCAATGGTCTACATCCATTTATCATCTTCCATCTGACTAGAGAATCTATCTGAAGAACTGTAAATCGCCGGCTATTTCTATATCCGGTCAAGCATTCATACCGGTGTCTGACGTTGTTTGCATGACACTTAAACCCGTCACTAATGACCTGAATTCCTAATCAGACGCATTTAATACCTTGGAGACATCGATTTTCTTACAATTTATCTTTTGCATGCTATACGTAAATCATTATTAAAGCGAGCGCACTGGCACATGATGCTAACGCATTGTGACGAATAAACGAATGTCAACTGATCCGGTACGCATCACTGCATGAAAAACGTAATCAGTTAAATTGTTTTGGCGTACAATGTGGGAACAGGAGAGTCATTCCAAGGTGTTACTTTGTAATGCGCAAAACGTATTCCGAAGATGGTGTTGGCACTCTTCTATGTTGGGGAATAGTGTACGAGCCCTACCTATTATCCACAACCTAGAACACAGTTTACTGTCCGAAATAATATTGGGTTTCATCAACCCAACGACGGTAAAACAGATGGGAACCAAAAGAGGTCAAATGGACTTGATTCAGGAATGTATTTCGGTCATTAACGAACAGCAGAAATAACATGGACCGCTCCACGGATAAACTACATGAATACACAGAATCAAATGGGTTGGTATAAAAAAGGTGTATACTACCTGTTCATCCCTCGTGACGAAGGCAAACACAGCAAAAACAGTGTATTCATTGTGTGAGTTTGTGGTGGGAGAGTAAATTGAAACTATGTGGTTGTTTAGTTAGTTAAAATTGAAGCCAAAACTATTTACAAAAATCACACCAAAGAGTCGGTAAAGTTCTTTTCAGTACAGAACCATTAGCCTTGCACTTTCGTGCGATGGCTTTCGTGGGCCATTTGGATGAAGGAATAGAAAGAAACAGCACCTGACTAAAGATACTGAATGCACTTAAACCATATAATTTGAGAAGAAATTAATTAAATCCACCAGTCATATCACACTAAATCTAACCACTGATGAGATTGGCCTGACCCCAAGGTACCAACCACGTAGCCTATCACAACATATATGACTGGGTGCCATGATCAGGGTTGTCATACTCTCATGCCAGGTATCTGTTTGGCCACCATTGACTTTCCTCCACCCACTCACTATCCGCCTCGACAAGCATCGAACGCCGTGGGGTCCTATCTGGTGACATGCGTAACGCATCCTTCAGCCATCTCAATCTCTGGAGGCAGAGCATCTGCTAGAGTGCACGACTGCGATTAACTAAAACTCAGTTCCTCATATTGATGTTGTTTCTGTTATTGTTTAATCACACTAGAGTAATGCAGTGTAGACGGCAGTGTTGGAACACATGTATTGGAATGAAGACACGGATGTAGACATTTTGAATTGAGTGAGTTGCGTGCATGCCTCATTGGACCTTTTGGTTCGTGGTTGATTTTTGTTTTTTCCGTCTTACAGGTCGTCTGGGAGCCCTCTCCCCGGAGAACCTACTGTGAGAAGTGTGTCCCACCTGTGTACTGAGAGCGTCGGNNGAGCGTCGGTGAGATGCCAAGGATTGTGTGGCCTTTTTTGGGACGACGCTAGTTGAATAAGAACTCGGACTGCATGTCCCAGAGTGCTGAGTGGATTCAGAACTGGGGTCGGTCCGGCATACTACACTAGTCTTCGTCCTGCTCGCATGATTGTCACGTCGCTGCCTCATACGAGAGAAACGGTCGGACAGCAGCAGCAGCATACACTGGAACCTTCATGGAAAACTGAATGTCGTGGCAGTTTCATATATTTCTAAAGTGGCCACATTCTAAGCGAGTTCTCTGTATGCGTGCGTTTATTTTATTTGAGATTCGTCCTCCAAATGAAATACAGTCGCCCTAACAGCAAGAAAAGAAAAATGTTTCTCAGTGAGTCTAGTAGTTGGGCGATTTTTAATGAAATCACCGCAAGGATATAATGATGATGAATCAGTATTTAGAAAGGACATACCGATCCAAATGATTCGCAACCGGCCAGAATCCCGGATGTTGAGCACAACCCGCATTGATCAGCATATTGTAGCCAGGAATAGCAAAAATGGCTGCCTGTCCCGAACCCTCTGGGAACACGTAGAGACATGGTCGGGCTACCTTCAGGGTTGGATCGGTCCAGTTTCGAGGAACTAGTGGTTGGTTAATGGATGAATAGATGTTTGGAGGCACCGCGGCGAGCGCACTGGCAACGAGTTTGCCAATGTCTGTATGGAACAATGAGAATGCAACAATAAAGAAGTGCCAATTACGGAAAATGTAAATGACGCTGCAAATAAGATAATTTAATGGTCCATATTTTTTTCTATAGATCACAGAAACATCAGTTGGAGTTTAACTGGAAGATATTGATATCTGAATATGCTTCACTAGCGGAACTTTATATTCATGTTATCATTATACAGCGAAAATTAGTCAAATAAGCGACCGTGTGATCGGTTATGAGTCGGTCCCACGTCTCGGGGAGCACAGCAGGTCCTACTGAAATAAAGCTGAAGATCGAAACGACGGACTGCTCAAGTGATCCGTCGTCAATTACGTAGATTAAGAATACGTGAATTTAGGAATGCAATCGCTGCTCCATTCGCACTGTTGATACACTCTGTTAATTCAGGTGTGATCCTTTCAGTTCAAGTTATGTAGATCGAATGCAGAATAGTAAAGGGACTGTGAAGTTTGTGACAAACTGTTATCCACAACGACTTCATGAGCAATACCGCGGCGTGATAAAGAGACTAACCAGTTGTAAAAACTAAACTGATTTGGTTGAGAAATGGACACGCAACATAGTATGCAGTATGGTACTTCACTCCCAATCCGAAATCGAATGTTTTCTGTTTTGTTCTTTACAAAAAACGGCATTTTGCAGTGCACGGGTGAACACTGGTATATATATATATATATATATATATATATATATATATATA